TTGTTTTTCTACTTTTTATGAAATATGTACGTGCCTCGTAATGACAATCGAGATAGCAATTGGTTTCTTTTTTTTTTTCTTTTTTTTTTACTTTGATTAGCGAATGAGTTCAGAAAAATTTGTAGAAAAACTGCCGTGGTTACTGTTTTTTAAATTCAAGAGGCTCATATTTGCACATGATATGAGTGCCGTTCCAGCGCAGTAATTTTTATAATTCTTTTCTTATTATCTCGTCGAGAGACATACACAAGTATTTCGATAACTGATTGTTTTTTTTGGCAAACATAAAATTGTTTTTATTTTTTTTTTTTTTGTTAAGGTGTGATTAAGTATAATTTTATACTAGTTATAGAAAAAGCGTTATACAAAAGTATGCTAGTTATACAAAAATTAATCAACATCTGGCATATCGTCGAAAAAAAAATCGGTAATACGTATCAATTTTTTTTTGTTCATTTTTATTCGTCGACATTTTTTTCCATTCTTCGAGTGGGTGTTAATTGATCTATTGAGAACCGGTTTTTCTCGCATAAACCAATCGCACTGATAATATAGTTACGGTATCTGTTTTTTATTATAAAAAAAATATAAGCCTTTCGTTTTTTCTTAAGACAGCGTTTTTTAACTTTGCCTAAAAGTAAAATAAAATTTACTGCTGTTAATATTCAGAAACGATACAAAATAAATTTTCGTTTCACGCTAATCAATTTTTGGCCTGATTTACAAGATGAAGTAATTAAAAACATCTTTTCTTCTATATCGAAATAAGAAAATTCAATTAAATTCTTTATGACCAATTGTAGTTAATTTTTTAACATCAGTCAACAAATTTTGCATTAAATTTATTAAATAACAGTGTACAAACATTGTTGGGTCACGAATGTACTCCTTTTGTTATCAAACAGCGTTTAGTAGTAATTTTTTTGTTCTTTATTTCCATTCATAGATCAACCGAACCTGCAGCTCCCGAATACAAGAAACTTCTAACTTTAGATTGAACTTTGGCTAAAGTCGTTGAACTAATACATGTCTATTAATAATTTTGGTTGTCACACAACATCCTCTCTAAAGATAGAGCTATGAAAAAATATCCAAGTCTCTCGTCAGCGTCAATCAAAGGCTTTTTTTTTAAACAATACATCAGTGGAAAACTAATGCTCCCTCATTTAAAAAAAAATTAAAACAAAAAAAAGGTTTTTCTGCTGCTTTAATAATTCATTTTTCCTTCAATTTGGCAAACAAATTAAAATGGCCAAAGAAACAAACCGATCATCAATTATCAGCGGAAACGATTATTTTAATAGTGAAGTCCACATGGCACGGAAAATCAAAGTGCAGTGTACACACACGTATTGCCAAACGAAACGTGGAAGAAGTAATTCCCAACCATTACTCTATAATGCCTACAATATAATGGCACGCTCATAGCCGCTGCCATCAAGGACTTACAATCCATCGAACAAAAACTAAATGGGCGCTCCGCCGCCGCCAACCCATTTAATGTCTTACACGTATACAAGGTAGTCGAAGGTACATGCACGTACACACGAACTCTTTGACCGAACACGCGTTATTTCTACAGAAATCTCTCTCTCGAGGTGTCGGCCAATCATCCGCGGTCGTATATACACATGTATATATATAATATGCAAGAGCGACGAAGCCACGCGCTCGTCCGCCCACACGCCTGCTTGACTGGTTGTTGTTGTTATTTATTATTGCCGTAAGTTTTTTTTTTTTTTTTTTTTTTTTTATGCACTTCCTTTCACACGAACCCTCGAGTCGAGATGATGACTCAGACGAGATCGGGGCCATTTTCCTCGAGGCTTTCTTCGATTCGCTCTGCAAAGCTGCATCCGACAGTGAGAAATTTTTACGCTTTTTTTATAGCGTGGAAAAAAGATAGGTCAGCGATTAAACTGTATAGGTTTATTGGTTATGGTTGTCGCCAATAGAGAGTTTCACTCGTGAAAAACAATCAAAGAGTAGATTGGCGTTTAGAAAACCACGGGTAATCCGACCTATGATCAGGTCTCCCATGCACTGACGCTTGACATTTTGCAACCACATCGTTGTAAGTATAGATACACTCGATTGAGCAAACCGATTCATCTTGCCATATGACGTACCGTACGTTTGTCGTCTAAATTTACATTTCGTGGAATGAAGTAAGAATAATTGTGGCTGTCCCTCTTCTTTTTCTCGCTTCTATTATTGTAACGAGGAAGGAAGTCGCGCAGACGATGCGTCTTAAATTCGAAGCTCCAGAGTGTACAGCGAGTCCACACCAGCGGTGCACGTGATACAAATCTAAATTCGGAAATAATGGGCTTGAAAATTGTCTTGCTGCTGCTGCTGCTGCTGCTGCTACTGTATGTTTCTCGACGGTGGAGCTCTTGTTTTTTTTTTTTTTTTTTTTTTTTTTTTTTTCATTCAAGTGTACATTTCCCATGAGTATCGCATTGGAACTTTAGTTTCCAGCAAAAAAACGATGGATACTTTTTTTGGCAGCAATTAAATGTTTACCACAAAATTTAATCTTTTTCTATGATACGATTGTATTTTATATCGCTTAAATAAACTGAAAAGAAAACAAAAATTTGGTATAGTAAAGAAAACATCTCTTTTCGACGCTTGCAGTGCACGACGAGCACGTGAAATAAAGCAAAAAACAATCGAAGAATCAACGATCTCGTGAGTACGTGATATAAAATATATTTAGATACTACATCGTAGCCAAAAATACATGGGCATACTCGAGCGAGAGTCACAAAACGGAACTATATAAAAAGGAGCCGCAGGTGATCTCTGTACGCGCGCGTTACACAAGTTACACGAGTTTAATCGATTTCTTATAAATTGAAAAGGAGGCTTTCACTTGTTACATTTTAAATATTTGGACCGGGCCGAGACAAAAGCCAATAGCGGTTGCAGCAACGGCTGCCGCTGTAAGTAATGCAGTAGGCCAATCGATAGAAAACCCACTGAGAAAGAGAGAGAAAATCGGGAAAAGTGGCACTTCCCCTCGATTGCTCAGTGTATAATATGTATGTACCTACAAGTTCTGGTGCACTAAAAGTTAGAGCTGAAAGATAAAATTATTTATTATTGTTTTTTTTTTTTTTTTTTTCCTATCAATTTTGATGTATAAAATTATATGTTCCAAGTGTCATACGATACAGACAGTGATGAAAACAAATGTGTGAATTTGTGTAAAAATCTACTATCATTTGCCTCGTGATGTACGATGTTATATGATCAGGCGTACATGAATACTGAGGTAAAACTCCACATAAAAAATTATTTTTACAATTGAAGCCTTTGATTTGAAAGTTATGTAAGTTAAGGTAAATCACGCATACCTTCGATTTTCGTTGAAATTGCCATATTTTTATTCATCGGGATAGCTTAGAAAATTCCTAGAATTTTAATTTATTCTAAATAAAATGAAAATAGTATACATTTAATAACCAACATCTTCGTAAAAATTATAATTTAATGCCCAATAAAATTAAAACTTTTTTTTTTAATGTATAATTCTTAAAAATGTTTATCATCGTTATCTTTAAGGAACTGTATCTAGCTAGAAATTTCTATCGCCTTTAACACACCTAGAAACATGTTAAATTTGTGACAAAGCAGTATAAGCATTCGATAGTACTGTATAAATATTCAATAATAGAGTAATTAATTCAGCTATCTACCAAACGATTGTCATTGTTATGGCTATTTTCTCATAGAGTAGAATTTTGTGCAACACGTTTGATGTTCCCGTACACTTGATTTCACTTTCACTGTTACTTTTCACCAATATGGAATAGAAATCCATTCCTCTCGTATACACAATACCAAAGTTACGATCAAACTCCTCTTCCGCGCTCGTGTGCACGAATTCAAGACTGTACGCACACGTAAGAGCAAGTATAAGGTCAATAACCGTGCGATTGCACGCGACTCTTCGCATACAATAATAAGAACGTCTTAAAATGCCTCCCTCCGCCTTTCTTTGCTGTCCCACTTGCGTAAGTGAGTTAGCGAGTGAGTGAGTGCACGAGGAACATAAGGCACATAAGCTAACTCGATCTTTTTTATGAACGATGATTTATTTCTCCTTGTGTATTATTTGACGATGTGTATTGCCGACATGAAAATGCGTTGAAGGCTCTCCATAATCGCTGCCGATGGTGATGACTGTCTTAAATAAATGCGACTTTCGTTTGGTTATATATTTCGGAAAATTAGTTTTTACTACCGTAACGATACATTGAGTTAATCGGTTACTATATTTTTTAAGAAATTTTTTGTAAATTATACAACTGTTTCCATCAAATCGTTGCATTCTTTTTTTTCATGTTGAATGGATTTTAAATTATGTAAAAAATTTGGGTGTAATAATAACGAATGTGTTACGATCAAAAAAGATAATCAAAGATCAACGTTTGTTGCATTTTTTTTTTTTTTTCAAGCTTAAACAAATAATATTTCTTCAAATAGTACTGAAATGAAGTTGATCGTTATTTTTTATGCAGACTAAACGTCTGCGAGAGTTATTACTCCACGTGGTAGAGTGACGACTGTTTTCTGCGTATTTGTTACTGACTCACTCGCCAACTTCTTTGTTGTGCGCTTGACTGCGCAATAATAAACTAGAATATTCAACAATATAAATTATTGTAATGTTTGAGCGATGTCGGAAATTAACAAAAAGCTTCTGAAAACTTTTATCGCTTTTTTAAAAATTTTATATTAATATTTTTCGAATTAATAGGCATTTTTTTTTATTTATTGATGGTGTTGTCATTCACTTGTATACAAATTTTCACTGATTGTATACTATTTTTATGATACTTTGTAATTTAGTACGTCATAAAGCAGTTAAATTGTTATTGATCAAAATAAAGTTTTATTCTCACGGGAAGTTTTGAAAAAATAAATTTTTAATGATACGTACGTGCGTGACAACAAATTTTTGAAAAATGAAAATTTTTGTATGCTTTCAGGTCAGAAAGTAATATTGACAAAAGGGATAAAGATAAGGACAAAGACAAAGACAAGAAAAAAGGTATTTAAATAAATAAGTTCAAGATTCTCATAGACCTTTTCTCAAACGATTTTACTAAATCCATACATTCCATTAGATCCCAAATTGAAAATGAATCCAAAAATTTGTCTACCAGCTCCATCGAAACGTTTCAAAAATAAAAACTATGTTTATTACACTAAATAGAAACAAAAATTTTGTTTCTAAATTACTATTGCCAAAAATATTTATTTTCTTTCGAACGTAAAAATAAAATTAGAAAAAATTACTTCTGTACCGATGCGACCGAATCTCCGACCGTTTCAAGAATATTCTTAAACCTTATTCAGAGAAGATACAAATATAAGTACATGTAGATTTACACTCACGAAAATCAAAAATAGTTCCGAATCGAGAGAATAATATATGACTATGTTATTTTTTTTTCCTTTTTCCTCGAATTCAGAAGATGCCGTCCAGCCGCACTGTCACATCACGCTGAAGTGCACTCGAGAGGTAAGTGAAACTTTGGAATTTGTTGTACTTTTCTCACTCAACCCTTATTTTCACATCTTGCAAACAGCAAAATTAAAAAAAAAAAAATTAAAGGAACATTATTCTTAGCGTATTAATGCTCCCGATGAATTAATTTTTCGGCAACATTTTATCGGGATGAAAGTTTAACATCAACACGAATAAACTGCATGTAACTAAAATTTTTAGAATATTGGTGATAATAATAATCGAACATTAATAACGTTGACAGAAAAATCGTAGAAAATAAATGTATTATTTGGAAACAATTGACATGTAGATTTTGGGCAAAAAAAAATAGAAAGGAGTAGTTTGTTAACTTCTTAAGAGTAAAAAAAATGCTAGTGATTCTTTTTTGTTGTCGCCCGGGTTTGAAAACAATACGTAATATCTGTACCAAAATAGGATTTGGCACGGATGTAATGTTGTTCGAGAACAGTATAAATGTACTTGAGCAAACAAACAAAAAAAATCACCATGTTTTTGCTCAATAGATCGCCGGTTTCAACGGCTTGAGCGACGCACTAAAGAGGCTCGACTTTTTGTCGGCAGTGCACGACTGCCGGCGCTTCAATTACATAGTGCGCCTACTCGATCTCTTGGTGAGCCACCGCATGGGAGGACTGAGCGGTTGCGCTCAGCGCGTCCTCTTCAACATGCTCGAGGAGGTCGCGTTAGAAGGTAAGCTGCTCATCGATCGTCCCCGGCGATTATTTGACCCGAGTTAGGTATATTTTATTTTATCCCCTTTTTCTCAACTCAACGCGCTCTCCCGCATCGTTATTGGGGCTAGGTATTGAACTTTCGGTGAAAAATTTATTCAAAATGCTTTTACATTCTTGTTGTGTCTCGTTGAAAAATTTTTTTGTCTTTTTCTACAATAAACATTTCTTTCAACGATATTTTATCATTTTACAACTCCAGCTTTCCAAATACAATGTAAAAAAAAAAGACTAAATATTTACTGATAATATTTTTTACTTTTTTGTTATAATTAGTACTGTTCGTAAAAACTGAGATGGTTTGATGCTCGATTTGTACTAGGCATTTTATTTATATTGGACGAAATTCGTAAGATTGAAAAAAAAATAGTTCAATTTTACCCTAGATTTTATCTATAAAAATAAAAAATGAAACTAGGAGTTAAATAAAATACTAGAAAAATTCGCTCACGAAATTTTTTTTTCGACGACTCATTCAAAAAGGCTCAACAGCTAAGGCCGAAGTTACTAAAAAAAAAAAAATATTGTGTACACAGCTAATTACTTTTCGTTGTAGTGTCCTTATCGCAGCAGCAGACCGGCCGACTGCGTCGACTTATCGAAAGGGTCCGAGCTTTCAGCGCTGGTTGCTGCTGGGGTGGCAGACCTCTCGGCTCAGTCATTCTCTGGGAGAAACACAAAGCCGCTCTTGACCGAATACTCCAGATCGCATCTTCCATTACGATAACTCAGGTGCGGATAAACTAGTTTTTCTTGTAACTGCCGGAAAATAAAAATTTCATTTGGGATTGGGAATTTTTTTATTCCAATGAATTTATTTATTTTAGTAATTATTTTTGCTTATTTAGGATAAATAATGTTTTAATTTTATAATACAATACTAAATACTAGTTTCATTCAATGAGGTTTGAGAGATACCTGTCATACGAGAAATNCACTATTCACTAAATTTTCGCATTCATTCACACAACATTTTCCTCACATTTTCACTCAATTAAACTTTGGATTTTTTCAAGACACTAATTTTATTATTCATAGGTACAAAGTGTAAACCATACAAACAAATGTGATTTCACATAAAAAAAGCAGGTTATATTTACATGTGCCAACTCTTGCTATATATGTGAATAGAACGATTATAACTATTTTTTTAAAATTATTTTAGAAAAATTTAATAACGTTTAAAACAGACATCAAGTACTTCAAAATTTTATAGAGTAGTTTCAACTACGTGAACCAATAAACTCTTTGAAAAAAAAAATTAAAAAAATTGTTAAAAAAATGAATATTTGTACCAAGCTGCAAGGTAATCTTCATCTTTTTGCAATATTCCTAGTCAAACAAATCGTGCAAAAAAAAGGCTTTAATTTCGTTCAGTTAATTATTTGCAATGTGAAACAAAAGCTATTAAATAAATTCTAAATTATAGGTGTAGAGTATACATATGGGGAGATTAAATAAGTAAATTGACAAATGAAAAAGTAAAATATTGAACTTTCTCTATCTTAAAGAGTTGCACAAGAACCATACAATGTTGTATAATATTTCCAGTACAATCTTAAACCAAGTATAGTTATACATGTGTTAGGATTCTCGAAAAAAATGAAAGATGTATTATCGAGTCTATAATATACAACATTATTGAGCATCAGAAAATATTTTAAGAAAACAAATGAAATTTAAATTCTTTTGCGTTAATCGTATGTATTTTCACTAATTAAACTTTTGTAAAATACATTCTCTTGTATTTTAATCTATCAATAGTTGTCAATATCAGAATAGAAAAATAAAAATTAAAAAAAAATTTTTTTTACATCGTAATAAATGAGGTTTGAGAGATACCAAACAGGATGGAAATTGAGTTTACAAATATTTGAGTACTAAGAAAATAAATAATCACACGATGTTTATTACTGAAAAATATAACACATTATATTTTGCACTTTTTTACATAAGGAAAAAATTGGTAAAACATTGCAGCTGACATGTCATAAACTCGGAAAAAAAATTTAATTAAAGGAGGATTTTATCTTAACTTTAAACTTGCTGGTCACAACTTATTTAAAAAATTTATATTTATATTTCGTGCTGAGATTTCAGTCCTGTTTGGAAAAAATCTCGTCAAGTATAAAAATGTAAAATAGTTTTATTTATAAGAAATGATAATTCCAAACAATGTTAATTGATCTATTAACGAATAGAAGCTCAAACTTTTTCAAACGTTAAAATGTAAATTTTAATTCAATGACGAAAAAATAATTTTTCATTTTACATTATTGATTAATAAATTTTTAATGTTTACTTTTAAAAAGTTGAAGTTACTTAGTAGATAAGTACTAGATATTAATTTATAAATGGTTATACGAGGAATTTCGTACGTGCTTACGCAATCCGCTCTCTATGTGCCACTGCGGAATTATTACCAATCTAATTGATTAATCTCTCGTTTCAATTGGTAACAAGATGAAAGCAAGAAGTAAAAAAAAAAAAAAGAAAAAATTCTCAACCCCCCGAACGACAAAACTTACAGCCAGACGAAAAGCAGCAGCCACAGTGGTCAGACCTGCCAGCCGAGTGTAGGCGTGAGGTGCTGCTGCGGCTGAGCGATCCGCGTGATATCGAAGCCTCGTCCGAGGCATGCGAGCACCTAGCTGTCTTGGCCCAGGAGCAGAGGATCTGGCGTGAACTCGCCCAATACCACTTCACGCCCCAGCAGATCGCCACTGCCCGACTAAACAATCCTGACAAAGACTGGAAAACTATATTCACTATAGCCCGAAGGTTCGTGATCTCCGTTTATTTATTATTATTATTATTACAATAGTAAGAAAAAAATTTTGTTTTTTAACAAGTAGTATTGGTTTCACTGAATTTGACGTAAGTTTTTGTTTTCGAAGAAAAAACGTTTAGCCATTAAAAATTGAGAAATCTTCGATGTCTAGCAAAAACAGTCCAATTTCTCAAAGGTAATTGGAAAACAAAATATTGGCGTTGAGTTTCATAGCAACGTTTACGTACTCGATTAAGGGAATAAGGGATATTGAAATTGAATGAAGACAAATTACCCTACGTGGAAGCAGGGCAGCTTACATCAATTGCTTGTACGTAAAAAAATAAGGAATGACCCATTTAACGAATTTATCGATGCGTATTTTGTGTCTGCACTAACAAACATATATGTACTTTCTATAGTTTTCATGTACCAAAAATCAATTACAAGTCTTATAAAAGTTACACAAAAGTGAGGATGATGAACATTTTTCAACTTTAAAGAAATTTTGTTATTTTTAGAAAAAGACAAGAAAATTGTTTTACTACGGTTAGCATGATGAACATTTTTTTCGTTATAAAATGTGGATAATATTTTCCGCATTGCTTTTAGCATAGAAAAATTAATTTTTTGCCCTTTTGCGATTAACTGGCATTCGTTTCCATCAACCCCAGCTACTCGTTCTAGTCTATCACTACACGCGCGGAAAATGAGCAAATGACTATTTTAAAACTTCTTTTTTTGCACAAAATTTCTTGAATTTGAAAGAAAATTCATACCACGAGCTTTGGTTGGTTTAATGGCTCGATTGCAGCGATTTTCGCGTGTAGCGCTACAAAACCGACGAAACGTCCTTGACGGCTTGCCGACTTTTTCTATTTTCACAGCAGCTCCTCGCGCCGTTGCGACGTCCTGCGACGTGCACAATACTTAAAATCTATGTATCTGCATGTGTAATGTATTAATTTACACTGTGCTAGTTTTTTTTTTTTTTTTTTTTTTTTTTTTTTTTTTTTTTTTTTTTTTTTTTTTTTTTT